CACCACGCACCCCTGCATCCCCAAGCCAGCAGCAGCACACGATGATGGTGAATGACTCTCTCCTGAATGAAGGAGAGTGGAACAGAGCTGGAGTTTGGACCCAGGAAGACTTGACTCCAAAATCTGTTCCTCTTTCAAAAGCATACAATAGAGGCTTACAGTAGAGGTAGGAATATATGCTTTTCCAACCACAACACTCCAAGCTGCTTCCCAAAGGCCTGAGACATAGAGTCACTTCATTGAGTAGAAGCAAATAAGACATTTAGCAACTTGCTCCTACCAACACCATCTGACAGCCTTGGTCTGGTTTCAATCAGCCTCCAGGGGAAAAAAAAACAAAAACAAAAACAGAGTTCTGGCCTCCCAGCAAGCTGCATATTTGAGAGTAAGTTTTGCAAAGTAGATGGATTCATGCTGGTTACTATCTACAAAGTCTTCTGTGACCCACTTAATGACTCTGGGCCTCATATAAAGTAAGAAAATAAGCTCATCCCTGGTTCTCTTCCAGAATTATTTGGAGGGGGTCTTACATGTAGTAACATTGTATAAACTGCAGCATTGTATACAGGTACTTTACTGCCAAGATAACATAGGGCCAAGACAACACAGAGAGGAGGAAAAAAAGAGTAGAAAAAAATGGAATGGACTTAAGAAAGAAAAAGAGAAGTGAAAAAAGAAAGAGATGATGGTATTGGATGAATGGCTTTCTAAATATGTACTTGAATGGCTTAACAGAAAAGAAAGCTTAAAATATATTAAAATCTTGTAGAGCAAAAAGTTACCTTTTGTCCCAGGACAGAATTTAGAATTGCTAGTGTCTACTTAGAAAAAAAAAGGATACAATGAGATACAACATTAAAATTTCAAATATAATTTATAACATTGAAAACTTAAGGGCCTGTAGTTTTATTTTAGTCCTTTCAAAATATACTTCATCTAGACACCATCGTAGTTTGGTGAGAGGTTTTCTGTCTTGATTTTTATTTTTATTTTTTTGTCGATCATGGGGCTTGAACTCTGGGCCTAGGCCCTGTCCCTGAGCTCTTCCGCTCAAGGCTAACACTCTACCACTTGAGCCACAGCACCACTTGTGGTTTTCTGGTGGGTTATTAGAGATAAGAGTGTCAAGGACTTTCCTGCCCAGGCTGGCTTTGAATGCGATCCTCAGATCTCAGCCTCCTGAGTAGCTAGGATTTACAGGCTTGAGCCACCAGCACCTGGCTACAGTTTTGGGTTTTTTTCCCCACACCTGTTTGAAGACCTGTCAAATAAGGAGCTCCAAGAAGCTGTACAGCTGTCCATCTCCCTCTCTGTATAGAAAGCCAAGCAGGGGACATCAGCAACCATTTGAGTGCCACATGTGGCAAGAAGGACCCATAAAGGCTATTGATCCAACCAATGCTAACAACTTCTTCCTAGCTAAACTGCCGGTGTCCTCAGGGAAGTAACATGGTCTTACATCCACAGGATAACATTTAAGCCATTGAAGACTCTCAGTAAAGGCTGAGTGAGTGATATAAACTAAGAGTCTTCAGTCTCTTTTTTTAATATTCCTCAGTTATAAGAAATGTCCTCCACTTATGATGGCCCATTTCACATTTGGGAGGTTTCTTTTGACAAAGAGTTTGTGTAATATAGGAGGAAGAACAAGATCTTCATGGCAGAAGGATATGTCACTTACCCTCCCTGAACTTCCACTTCCTTGTTGGTATAAATGGAAGATAGTGGAAGTCCATGGTAACGGGAGGTGTGATTGAGAAAGTGAGCTGGGAATACACCAGTTTAGGATATCTACCAAGCAGTGTTTGTCTTCTCTACAGAAATGCACAACAAGGTTTAAAGCTCAAATCTGAAGCCAGATATCTGAGTTCAGATCCTAGGTCAAATCTTGACCAACCAACTTCATCTTTCATTTCCATATAGGTTAACAGGTGACAAGCACAGTTTCTTATCATTAGGTTAATGCCAGAATTGAGTAAGTCAACATTTGCAAAGAACTTGGTGCCTGGCTGATAAGAAAGCATGCAACAAATCTACTGCAGTGGCTTAATAATTCTGTAATCAACAGAGCCACTGAGAGGGTAGCAATAAGACCAGAGTCTTCCTATCAGATGCTTGATGCACAGGATACAGGAAGAGTGAAGAGGTGGGAGGTCAAGAAACTAGCCAAGTAGGTGCTATGATTCTGGGTAGGAGGTAGTTAAGCACTAGTTCAGAGGCAAAGACAGCTGGGTGCTTGTGGCTCAGGCCTGTAATCCTAGCTATTCAGGAGGCTGGGATCTGAGAATCATTGTAAAGCCAGCCAGGGCAGGAAAGTCTGTGAGACTCTAATCTCCGATTAATCACCAGAAAACAAGAAGTGGAGCTGTGGCTCAAAATGCTAGAACACTGGCCTTGAGCTCAAAAGCTCAAGGACAGCCTCCAAGCCCCGAGTTCAAGCCCCACAATAGAAAGAAGGAGGAAGAGGAAGAGGAAGGAAAGGAATTAGATGCTAGATATTTCTGAGCAGCTAAGTAGGAGAACTTAGTAAATGTCTTCATGTGGTTGGTAGGGATAATGCAATAATCACAGAGAAGGTAGATTTTGTCTGCCAACATGTGCATTTTCACACTGAGGTATTTGTTCTAGAGTTTCATTAAGAAAGTAACTGCCTCTCCTAGGCTGTATGCATCTTGATCATCTTATGGGAACCAATGGTCTTGCAGAGTTGGTGGGTCACTGCCACCCTTATGGAAACACAACAGCAGTAAAGGAACATGTGTTCCTCTGGGTGTGATGAGCACCATCAGTGAAAACATGACCACTTCCAGTTCTTTCCAATCTATGAGGACAGCCGCAGGCTGATTATCAGCAGGAGATGAATGCCCCTAAAATGCAAGGGACCTACCAGGGAATTTCACACCAAGAGTCTGGTCAGTGATATTCACTGGAAAAAACAACAACAATCATGACACTTCATCCACATTCACCATCTGCTTTGTTGGGTTCATTTGTAAAGTATAGTTAGCATTCTGGTCTAGTAATAGGGAGAGGGAGGAATTGTCTTAAAAGCAAATGTACTTTTTTTTTGGAGAGGTAACTTCTTCATAGCAGCAGTATTTTCTACTTAGTTACTTAGCCTTGGGGTATGTTGCTTGCAAGGGGGCTGGTTCTGTGCATTGTCTTATACACTGCTATCAATGATTGTCCCATGACTGACAAATTTGACTTGAACCTCATAACAAACCACGTGAGGAGTTGGGTTTCTACTCCTTGTTCAACAGTGAAAAACTCTGCTGAAAAAAAGGCTTGTTTCCTGTTTTAAAATGTAAAGCTATACATTTAATGTACACTAGAAGGTACTTTAAAAAGCATTCACATGTTTAAGATTCATTAGATGATGAAGCTGCTGCTCTGACCTTCACGGAGTATTGCTTTGCCCCTCTAGGCATATACCTTCCATCCTTGAATCTGATATGGAATCAGGTGAGCATTAGAGTACCTTCCCGCTCTAGCTCTCAAATAATCTGGTCTTCTGCCAGGAAATCTTAATTTCACTTAACTTACCTGCCTGTAACTTATAGCCTAAAGGCCATGCTGTGTTTGTTACACAGGTGTAACTGATAGACAAGCCTCTGATAACAGTCTAAGGTGCAATACCGCATGCCCACCCAGACAGCTACCTGGTTCCAACTATTTCCAAACTGACAATTACTTAATAACCAACTCTATTCCCCTACAGCTCTTGTGTAGGGAAGTTTCCTACCTGCAACTTCAGAATCAAGTTATCAACTGTAACTGTGAAGGCATGTCAAGATCCATGGCTCACGCCTGTAATCCTAGCTACTCAGGAGGCTGAGATCCGGGGTTTGAAGCCAACCTGGACAGGAAAGTCCATGAGACTCTTGTCTCAAATTAATCATCAGAAAACTGAAGTGGGGCTGTGGTTCCAAGTAGTATAGCACTAGCCTTGAGCAAAAAGCTCAGGGACTGTACCCAGGCCCTCAGTTCAAGCACCACAAAAGAAAAATGAGAGGGGGAGAGAGAGAGGGAGACAGAGGGAGAGACAGGAAAGAAGGAAAGAAGGAAGGAAGGAAGGAAGGAAGGGAGGGAGGGAGGGAGGGAGGGAGGGAGGGAGGGAGGGAGGGAAGGGAAGGCAAGGGAAGGCAAGGGAAGGGAAGGAAGATCTGGTCACTAAACTCCTGGAGATCAGAGATCACAGTAGGTCTTGCTTGGGCAGCTAGCCTTAGCTATTCCCTTTACTTGCATCTAAGCCCCAGGATGTTCCTCCTCCCTCGTCCCCTAAACATCCATCACCCCACTCACCAGTAAGATATGTCCCCCTGTAGGTTTGTCCCCCTACAAGGCCTAGGAGTGGGCTGATGCTCATTTCAGCATTGTCATTTCCTCCTAACAAGCAACTTTCCGAGTTGCACTGTCACCAGCCTGACTGGAAACCCAGTCACCTGTTGTCTTCTCAGCTGTTTGCTTTCAGAGGCCTTTTGTACACTTGTGACAATAAACCCCCTCACGGCCCAGACTGCTGACTGACTGCCCAGTAGTCACATGCTCCCAAAAGCTGGCTCCCTGTGGTTGGACGCCATGTTGACACTCAGAGGACCTGGGATTCGTCCTCACCTGGTTATAATGTCTCTTGTGTTTAAAGTGAACGGAGCCCGGGCACATCTGAGCACCTTTAACTAGAAAAAGAGCTCCGATGCCCCGGCCAAGGGGAAGAGGCCCCAGGCCTGCAGCCAGAGAAGCAGCCCCGGGAGCCTCGGGACCTTCAATTCGGTTTGGGGCTAGTTCCACAAACTGTCACACAACCGCCAACATTCAGATTAGCTCCTCACTCTCCGCGACCGGCTGCGGGCAAGGCCGCCAGGGGTCCCGCCCAGCGCTCCGGGAGTCTCCGCCCCGCGCTGCGGGGGACCCGCGGGCCGGCCCGGATCTCCAGCCCGCGGGGGCCGAGCATCCCGCGGAGCTCCGACCCCGAGCTCCTCCAGAGGGCTGGCAGCTACCTGGTCCAACAGCCGGTAGATGGTGATGCCCGAGGCGTCCACCAGCAGCTGCCAGTCGGCCCCGGCCAGGGAGGGCTCTTGGAGCTCCGCGATGGCCTCCCGGAACTGGTCCTCTGAAAAGCTGCACTCAGCCAGCGCCATCCTTCCGCAGCCCGGGCAACTCCGCCCGCAGCACTGTGCGGCCCCGGTGTGGCCTCCGGGGCGGGCTGGGGAGGGGGAGGGAGGGGCCGGCGACAAGGTGGCTGCCACCTGATTGGCAGGGAGCAGAGGAGAAGGCGGGACTTAAGGAGGAGGAGTTAGTCGGGCTGAGGGCGTGGCCTGGGGGCGGATCTGAAAGTGGGCGGGGCTGATCCTGTAGTTCCCAAGGTTGGCCTAAGTAAAACTAAAGAAAACTTGGAGTTGATCTGGGGGAAGAAGGGAGAGTTAAAGTGGAGAAACTTCTGAAAGGAAGACACTGAAGTCATCTTGAAGAGGGATACTGCTATCAGGAGCACATCCCATACTCTACCAAAACTGCCTGGGTTGTTTTTGCTTTTTTGTTTTTTTTCCTGAAGAATGTAAAACGGATCTCTTTGAGATACAGGGGTGATATGCTAGAATAAAATTGCTCTTCTGCTTTGTGTTTAAAATGTTATGTTGAGAAAGGGACCCGTGGTACTCATGAAGAGATGAGAAAAGTCCAAGGGAGAAGGAGGAAGAGGGGGAGAGGGATAGGGAAGGAGAGGGGAATGGGAGAGTAGGGGGGGGGGAGAAAGAGGAGGGGGGAGAGAGAGCGGAGAAGGAGTCCAGTCCATAAAGGATCTGTAAGGCTAAAATCTGAAGAGGAAAAAATATAATCTTTCAAATACCTCGGTGTCTATCCAGAATTTCTGGTTTGCATAATTTAGATCTTGGTGCAACACAAAGATCTTTTTGTTCCTCTGAAATCCCGTAGGTATTACTACATTTCTCACCAGAAAACTACACCTAGCTTTGAGTAAGATAGTTTAAACATCAGAAAGACACAATAGTCAAACAAGTGCCAAGAAGCTGTGGAAAACCAGGTTTCCTCATCTGTAAAATAGATCAAGAGTTGTGTAGCTATTTAGAGTTGGGGTGGCCATTGAATATAAAATATTTTTGCACAGTGACTGTCCAAGTAAATGTTCAATGAACATATTCCCTGTTTTACATCATTAGTCTGAAATGCAGTTTGTTCAGTACTTGAAAGAAAATCAATGGCAAGTTATCTTGTAAGTTATGTCAACTTACAAGAAAGGACACCAGATCACATTTGGCAGCTGCCTTCAGCACAGCAGAGATAAGTTATTGATTTGTGGGGTAGAAATAAAGTGAAATTTTTCTGGACTAAGTGCACTAAAAAATTAGAGGAATACTTTCTTGCTGTTTTTTTTATAATGGTTCATAAGATGTCTCTGTAAAAATTAGATTTTATTGATACTAAAATTCATTGCATGGGAAAGCAATCACTGAATTGACTTGAAGGAATTTGTTATAAATGTCTCCTTTGGTAAAGCTGAAGCTTTAACATTATATAGCAATAGATGAATACTCTCTGGAGGAAGTTCTCACAACACAGCAGACCAAAGTTCCTGGCCTCAAACACCTAGAGATAATGGATGACATAACCAAAAATAATATTACAAACACAGCTTAGCTGAAAATAAAAAGTGGCACACTCAAAATTCCAGACAGAGAAGAGAGAATAAAAGCCAGAAGTTACCTTAGAATTCATGAACATACACACACACACACACACACACACACACACACACACACACACACGCCCTCACCTGCCCATGTTTGTATAAAAACTAACTTCCATTACTGTAATCTCTCAGAAAAGGAGTGATTTCAGCAGTTGATGAGTTTAGAACAAGCTACTGGGCATGTCCAGATCAACATGTTCTGCCACCTGTCTACCTGTAGAAAACAAGTATTCTCTTATACCTTAAACTGTGTAATGAAGCCAAAAAATACATCAGAATCAGCATAAGCAGAGTGCTGTAATTAACTTGTGGTCTAAAGCTCCAGGCCTCTTCCCCCAACAGCTTTATTGTAATAATGGTGAAATCCATTGCTGACTTTAAGTATATATATATATACTTATATATATAAATTGATTCCAATTGCAAGTAGGGAAGACAGAAGTGTTAGATTCAGGGAATCCAACCTGTAAATAAACCATAAAGGCTGCAGGTTATGGTTCTAGTATTCAGGACTGAATTGAACACATAACTTTAGGTCACTGCTGTTAGACAAACTGACTAGTGGCCCTTCATAGAGCTTGAATTCTTTAAGAGCTGTCTCTGTCATTCAAAAGGTAAGTTAGAAGAATTACAATCCTGTATTGTATGAAGGGTTTTTCCTACAGCCTTGGATGAATAGAAATAAAAAGTTACTGCAAGAAATCAAGCCTTCAGCCAATATTTACCCGATTTACATTGTTTGTATCATGTGGGAGTCACAAGATATTGACATGCACCCTGGTTTCAAGATCATTGAACCCCTGGGATCCTGCTAGGGTACTTTCACAATAAGGACAAATGGAATAACAACAGAAAACAAACACCCACAGAAGAAAAGTATACAAAAAAATGAATCACAAAGACCTGAGAAAACAAGGACTAGGAATGTAGCTCAGTAGTGGAGAACTTGCAGAACATGCTAGAGGCCCAGGATCAAGGAAGAAAAACAAATCTATACATAAAACAATAAATAGCAGACCAACATAAAAACAATTTTTTTTTGGTTGTGGGCTTGAACTCCAAGGCCTGGGCACTGTCCCTGAGCTCTTTAGCTCAAGGCTAGCGCTCTACCACTTGAGCCACAGTGCCACTTGCGATTTTTGAGCATTTCATTGGAGATAAGAGTCTTAAGGAGACTTCTGCTTGGGCTGGCTTTGAACCATGATCCTCAGATCTCAGCCTCCTAAGTGGCTAGGATTATAGACATGAGCCACTGGTGCCAGCTAAAACAATTTTTAAATAAAGAAAAAAAAAAACAATGAAGCCTGGCACTGGTGGCTCAAATCTGTAATACCAGCTATTTAGGAGGCTGAGACCTGAGGGTCACAGTTCAAAGCTAGCCTAAGCAGGGAAGGCTGTGAGACTCTTATCTTCAATTAACTAACAACAACAACAAAAAAGCTGGAAGTGGAGTTGTGGCTCTTAAGCCCTTGCATACAAAAGCTTAGGCCCTGAGTTCAAGACCCAGGACCAGCACAAAAAAAAGAGGGAGGGAATGAGGGAGAGAAAGAGGTGAGGAGAGAAAGAGGGGAGGGAATGGGAGGGAAGTGAAGTGGAAGAGGAAGGGGAAGAGGAAGAGGAAGGGATAGAACCATAATAAAAGAACAGAAACTAGGGTTGGGAAGGTGACTCAGTGGTAGAGTGCTTGCCTCACGTGCATGAGGCCCTGGGTTTGATTCCTCAGCACCACATAAGCAGATAAAGCTGGAAGTGGCACTGTGGCTCAAGTGGTAGAGCACTAGCCTTGAACACAGAGAGGCTCTCCAAAAGTAAAACCCTGATATCAGGGACAGAGCTCAGGCTCTGAGTTCAAGCCCAGGACTGGCAAAATAAATAAATATATATAATCATTTGAATGCAAATTTAAGAGCAGTAGAATAGCTGCCCTGTCACAGTTCCAAAAAAAATACGGGAATGTGAAGGTGGCTATGAAACAACTTCCCAGAAAGCAGCACAGATATTAAAATAAAAAATGGAAGACATGAATGAGTAAGAGAAATGCCAAATATTTATGACTGGAGCTTCAAAAGGAGAGAATAGAGAAGGGAAGACACTGGGTGGGTAGATCAGGAAGGAGAAAGAAAAATCAGAGACATAAAATCAAAGTTGAATTAAACTTTTCAACAGAAAAATCCTAAAGCAGGACAAAGTGAACTCATAATTTTTTGTAAGAGGTTAAGAAGAGATATTAAGTGTTATTTGGTTTAATTATTTTGTTTTATTTTTTTGTCAGTTGTGGGGCTTGAACTCAGGGCTTGGACGCTGTCTTTGAGCTGTGTTTGCTCAAGGCTAATGCTCTACCACTTTGAGCCACAGCTCTATTTCTAGTTTTCTGGTGGTTAATTGGAGATAAGAGCCTTGTGGACTTTCTTGCCCTGGCTGCCTTTGAACTGCGATCCTCAGATCTCAGCATACTGAGTAGCTAGGATTACAAGTGTGAGCCACCAGCACCAGGCAAGTTTAACATAGCTGTTTAAAGCGACTAAATCTCAAATGTCAGGTAAGCCGAGGCCATTGTGCCCTTTAAAATAAGTTGATGACCTAAGACTAGCAGAATCATATCAAAAAAATACAGGAGGGTAATTGAAAAGAGAAAAGAGACAGAAGGTAGCTAGATTGTTACAGTTCTGGTTCCTCTTCTATATTTGTAATTGTTCAAAATAAAAAATTGGCAAAAATACAGTTATATGTGTTCCTAGGAGACATGAGTAGAGCATAGTTATGCCAAAATTGAAAGGTGAAGGTATGGAAAAATAATCATAAATGCTAAAGAAAGCCAATATTACTCTAAAACATAGTCAAAACAGACTAAGAAGGAGGGATATTGAGAGAAAAATGAGGGAAGGGGTAACAAATTTGACAAGAAATGTACTCACTGCCTTATGTAACTGTGACCCCTCTGTGCATCACCTTGACAATAAAATTAAAATAATAATAATAATCCAGACTGAGACAAGAAAATAATAGAATTTTATGAATTATTAAGGGGTACAAGGCTATAGGAAATCTCAGTGTCTAAGTCTGCATTCATTCATTTCAAAATATAATCTCAAATATACATAGCAAAAAAGTGCTATCAGTACAGATGGAATCAGCAAACACAATCAGAGTGAGGCATATTAAGGCTTTCTTGTAATTCAGGGGGAAAAAATCAATTGGCAATGATAAAGATTTGGGCTCGTAATTCATACACTTGGTCTCAAGGTCGTATGTAGAAATCCTCTCCAAAAGTAAAACACATTATTGGGAAGTTCTTACAAACATTCATTAAAATTCTCATGACCTAAATTTGCTTAATAAAAAAACGACAACTTTGTAAAGCACCAAGGATATTTTCAGTATGTGTGTTGAGTTCATTAAGCAGATAACACAGATAAAAGCACTCTATATAGTGAGCGCCAACACGTACCAACAG